AATCGATGTCAAAAAAATTACTAATAATGTTCTTTTCTTTCCAAAAGAACCTACCATCTTAGGAGGCCTGCCTTTCAACATATATATAATGGTAGGTAACGCTCACCGATCGTTCTTACAGAATTCACTCGTTCCGTTGCGCATAACTAACAGGTCCCGAGTTCGCGTCCCAGGTGTTCCACACTTCGGGGTTGGGTATAACTGACTGGCGACGGCTAATAAGCCAGAAATGGCCATTCCAGTCTCCCTTGTCTTTGTCGGTAATAGCATACTGCATACATATATATGCTGAAGAGAGACTGTGCAGCAATTTCTGGCTTATTAACCGTCATCGACCAAACATATTCAGCCTTAGGTTTGGATCGCCGTGACCTGATCCAAAGCTGCCGTCTTCTACTGTGGGCAGGACGGCAGACAAACAAGTTGACGTCATTTTCGTTGGCGTGTTATGTCGCCGCCTTTTTGCCTCTAGTTAATGTCATCGATGGACCTTGGGCTCCAGCCAAGAAATCAAGCAAGTCGAGCAAGAGGTCACGCAATAACCGTTCGGCTGGCTCGAAGGCCAGCGAGCCATCGGCGGTGAAAGGTGGGTCAAAGGCAGGCGAGGACATGGTCGACAGCGCGCAGGCGGCAACAACAAAGGTCGCGTGGTCACCCACCCCAGAAGGCCGTCCTCAATCGCCCATCTGGATGACTCGAGCGCGAGGCTCTGGCGGCGCCGGCGGGTCTGGGAGCGCGTTAAAGGCGACAAAACCTGTGGTCTACTCAAAGTTTCTCCGCTCCGAGTCACCGGTACGCTAATAAAGTCTGCTACTGAAACTTGCTGAGTAGCACTTTTTTATTAACATGTTGTTCACTTTCGACTCAGACCCTGTTTTTATGTGTGCAGGACTTGCCAGATACTTTTTAAGTGAGTTTTGTTTGCCATAATAATAGCCTTCATCTTCTGTGGTGCCCTCATACTCATATTCCGAAATTTTACAACAATACTTTTTGCCTTGTTAAAACCTCATTGTGGCCTGTTTGCTTACTTCCCGTTTGCCGAAACGCGCCGTTTGCTGCCTAATTACCATTCGCTCGCGCTTTTTCATTGTTAAAAATACGGATCGGGGGGCGCGTTTATGTTCGTTCGCCTCAGATTCTGTATTTGCATTTCACTTTTCTCGCGTGGATTTTGCCAGCGTCAACTCATCGTCTTGGCCAATCAAATGAACGCTTGGTGTAT